ATGTGGGAAATTATTATTATTACTAATAATAATAATAAAGAATGAAATGCACACTATATAAACTCGGTTAAGCTGTGCATCAGAAGTTTAGTTTTGTTTGGTTTTAATATATTTACATGGGGGAAATAAATATGACAGATAAAATCTCCTTGGCTTTCTCTCTCACAATGGTAATTATGCCAGGCCTCCAGTGCAGTAAGGTTACAATTATACAACCCTGTTTCTGGTTTTCTCTAGACATATGTGCAATATATACATTGCACATAAATTGGCTCAGCCTAATTATTTTTAAATAACATGTATGCCTTTAAAAATAATAAGCAAAAATGGAACTGCCTAAATCTATTGTGGGTCATGTTTTGTTTTTCCCCAGGCATTAAAAACCTGTGTCTGATCTTTTCTTGAAAACATTTTTGAGGGGGGCAGGGTAGGGGGAAGATTTCCTCTCAGGTTGAAAACCAGATATGCTTTGCCCTGTTCTGTGTCCATCACAGCCACAGTGCTCCGGTTTGAACAGAATCTCATCTGTTAGAACTTAAATATGAAGTTGTAGCCCAAAAGGAATTTTTTTTTTACTCATATGATTGTAAATAAGGGGTTATAAGGCGTGTTGGGACACAAACCTGTTCTTATTACTTTGGAAAAATCTTGCTTGTCAAACAGCTGAAATATTAAGTTTTGAAAAATTTGTTACTTGTAACATAACCCACAGCACATTATTTCACAATGCATATCAAGCACATTGTGGGAGGAAAACTGTAGCTGCTGGTGGCACAACAGTGAATGAGCACAATGGTGGCAGTTCAAATCCCATTAGGTATTTTTGTCAGGGACATCAAATATGCTGGTAACAGCAAAGTCACTGCAATCATGCAGAATTGCTGGGAAGGTTGTAAATGATGTCTTACACCCTGATGTCTTAGCACCACTGTCACTTACCTGCAGGAATCTGATGCTCTCTAATGCTTCAAGGAATGGCTGGACTCCTTTCCCAGCTTCTGTAATGATATTGCTGAGGTGCATCTGCCACTTCCTCAGCTGATTTCACTGTTTATAGCACCCTGTAGCATTGAGAGAAGCTCAAAGAGCACACATTGACGAAAGAACTATACAAGGAATTGCTAAGAAACAATGAGCCCAGCATGGTGAAGTTTATGCATCTAACAGTTTGGGCTAAGTAGTTACCCCACCCGGTCATGGTCTACAAGAAGCCAGAAATTCTAGGTCCCAGTTCTCTGTCCAATCCCAGAGGTCTAATCACTTTACAGACTCCTTTTTGTACCTGGTCAGTATCTCACATTTAACATATTTGCAATAATAAAGAGAAATAAAATTGGTAAGTTAATGGTGTTTAGTTAAGTTACACAAACATTAAATAAAAACTGAGAGGGTTCATCACAGTGAATCAGGCTCCATTCTCTCTGTCACCCAAAAAAAGTGGGGAGCAAGGAGCTCGAGACACACTGCCAAGTGTGTTCACATTCAAAGGCTTTTTCTTACAGAGAATTGGATGGGAGGAGTCTGAGTTTTCCTAACATGTTATTTGCTTATTTGACTATCATTGGTTGACATTATGTCAGCTAGTTAATGAATGAATCTGGTTTTATAGCTTTTGCACTTGTGCCTGGAGGTCACCCTACACATATTTTCACAAATTAGAAAAATAAATAAATTAATTAAACTTATTTTCTACTGGGAAACTGCACACCTGAAATAACAACTATTTTTTCCAATGTATTTAGTTGTGCTCTGCCAGAAGGCATTTCTTCCCTCCTCCTTGGCCGAAAAGCCCTGATAGCCAGCAGGTTGCAAGCAGGCATTGTTCAGTGATAATGACTTTATAAACTCTCATATACACAGCTAGCCCCAACAACACATTTTAATTCTCTAAATAAGGCTTCTTTTTCCGCTTGTGTTGTGTACGTACACATTGCAGATGATGTTTACCTGCCTGATTTCAGGCCACCCGTGCAGGTACAGAAATGGTGGCCATCAGTGTGAGGTTTGGAGACTTTGCTTTCCAAGGGTTAGGGAGAGTAAAGATTAAAGCTTCATTTCCTAAGTTTATTTTTGATTTAGGAAAAATCCCAACACTTTGCCAACCTTCTCATGGACATTAATGTGGAAAAAAGTAACAAAAAGTAATAAACATATATTTACTACAAAACAGAAACCATTTTGAACGGTTTTCCACTCATCAAATTTTCCAAGACATTTCTCTTGAAACTTTTCCTTGTTTTTGTTTTTGTTTTGGTTTTTTTTGGCTACATCATTCTCAAAACAATCATGCTCAAGATGATAATGTAACAAAAACCTTTCTGGTAAGTAAGATAATACTTCTTTTGACGTACATATGATATTCATGTCAGAATTGGAATCAACTTCAGATTTGGCATTGATTTTGCTTATCAGTCTGGTCACTTTTTACAGACACTTGTATGTGAAACTTATGTACTGCATATTAAAACCAATTTTGTATCTTGTTTTATATATAATTTCTGAAGGAATTCAGTTATTTTTAAAACTGAGAATTTTGTATATGCTGTGCATACATACAGCTACACCCTGAATGAAAGAACACAGTGAGAAATCTTCTCCTAGCTCCCTTACATTTTTTACCATTCTGATTTCCATTTTGCATTCTTTCTGAGAGATTTTAAAATCACAATGGTTTCTCCAAACATGTAGTTCAGTCTGGGACGGAAGAGGATCCACAGTACATTCCTGAGTTGAACAATCATCCAAGATGAAACAGGAATCCCAATACTGACAACTAAAACACGGAGTAAGGAAAATGCATTATCTTAAATATAAGATCTGTTAAAATCAATAAATACCTTTGAAAAAGATCAAACATTCTATAAACTTTCATAATTTGATATTGTTTCATAGATAAATTTATGGAAAAGAAAAGTTGCCTTTAAGCACAAGTTGAAATAGTGATCTTTCTTACAAATGGAGAGAAGGTAACTACATGTATTTTTTTGCCTACTTTTCAAATTTCCTGGAAATCTTTATTATTATTTTAGCACTATATTTATTTAGTCTCCTTCTGAATAATTGTTCAACAAGGAAATTTTATGAAACCATAGATTAGATCCAGATGAAAAATGGCACTTCCTTAATGTTGATGATTGTTTTGCAAAAATCCTTTAAAAGTGTACTCCTCTGCGATTTTTCTTGCTTCCTTCCTTCCTTTAAAAATACTTTAAAAACTCTGTAAGTATATTTGTAACTACCAAGGGACTTTCATGATTAATTCACATTATTCATATTCCCTAAACACAGATTTGACTAATATGCTCTATACTTGCTGCCATCACACTTATAAATGTACATTAACTGAATGCAATTTAAAAGAAAAATATTCCTAATCTTTTCAATAAAAGAGGGAATAACTGGTAATAACGGCAGTATTTGGTATATTTCACCTCTTTTTTCTAAAAGTAGAGTTTATGTACACTATGATTTTGGCAGTTCTATTAAATAATTTTCATAAACTTTGTTTGATCCATGACGTAGTAGTATTCATTTGCACTGTGGCATATCTGAACAATGTCATTAGTGATTATTGGTCTTTTACATGACACTACTTTTGTCCTGTCACTACATAACTCTTGAGCTCACAGGAATTAAATTAATTTTCCATTGTATTGAGACATACTAGCTTTTCTTTTTTTTTCTTTTCATGAGCAAACTAAGCTGTACAAATGTTCACATAAAGCCAAGGCAATACGGGGATAAAAGCAGATGAAGACAATTCATTTGAAAATCAAAGCAGTGCTCACAGAAATATGTTGGCAGGATTCACCCAGCTCTATTTCAGAGTTGTTTAAACACTGTATAGAGCAGAAGAGGAACAGGAGTAATGGTTTCTCCTGGAATCAGTTCAATCAATTAATCTGTCTCTTTTTTTCTCCTCGATCATTTAATTACCACTGCAAAAAAGCAGTGGAAATTAAGTCACAAAAAACCCCATTCGTATAACATGATGGATCTAATTGAAGCCTTTGTAAGCGATCAGATCCTGGGGTAAGGCTGAACCGGCCTCATCCCACCCAGTTGTATGCTGGCAGGGTGCACTGCACTGGCTGCTGACCTTGAATGGGAGTTTCTGCACAAAGACTGAATTTTGTTGTCTGTGTGGCTAAAACCAGACGTCATGCAGCCAGTGAGATTTGGTGATGGTGGCTGGGTTTCCTGTAGAGAGGAAGGGGCATCCCCACGCTGGGAAGGAGGCCTAGGCCAAGCTGGTGTCTTTGGCACAGGTGCGCTTGGTGCCACAGGAGAGCCTGTGAGCCCAGCTGCCCGCAGGGAGCGCTGCCCCACTGGGAACACACACTTACCTGCTTGTATTTCCCTGTTTCTTGCTGCTGCGTGGTGCCGTCCAGCCTGGCAGCAGGCCGCGGGCCCCCTCTCCTGCAGGAGGCAGAAACCACCCAAAAACCGGCTTCTCCTGGCTGGCTGGGCTTTTTTTGTGCTGGAACCACAGCCCTCCCCGAGCCCTGCGGCACTTGCTGGGCCAGGGTAGGGGGAAGGAAAGGTGCCAGGAGTGAATGCCTCCCTGCCACAAGTAGCAGGGCAGGGTGGGCAGCACCGTACTGTGTGCACGTCTCCCACAGCCATCTTTCTTGCCTTTCACCACGGTCAGCAACCCACCCTGTCTTTGGTTTGGGTTCCTCCCCACAGTATGAAACTGAAGGGTGTTTAATTAAACTCCTGAGTCCCAAGACATTGCAGACACGTAGATCTCGCTCACAGGAGGGTGTGTGCTGCAGGAAGCAGGGGCAGACGCTCCCGGCCCGGACAGCGGGGCTGTGCTGGGGCAGGAGCTTGCCAGGGACAGCGCTGGGGCAATGCCAGGAGCAGGAGTGGGCAAAGAGAAGCTGGGGGTGCTCTCCTCCCCGCAGCTCGCTAAAGCAATGCGGCTACGAGCTACACTGCTTTCCTTCCTGGCTGCGGCATTTGTTAGGCTCTTGTGTGTTCTTCTCTCCCGCTAGATTTTGGTGTGAATTAGGTGTAGGTAAAATGGGTCATGTGGCGAGGCGCTGCACCGGGCTGCCCACAGAAGCTGTGGATGCCCCATCCCGGTATGAGTTCAAAGGCAGGCTGGATGTGGCTTTGAGCAGCCTGGCCTAGTGGGTGGCACCCCTGCCCACGGCACAGGGCTGTCAGGCGCTGTTCTTAGCGTGCCACCCAGCAGCCAGGGCGCTGTGCTGCGCTCGGCCCGGGCGGAGGCGGCAGGGCGGCCGAGCGCCGCGTGCCCGGCAGAGGGCGAGCGGCCCCCGCCGATGCCGCTGCGCCCCGGACCGCCGCCGCATCCCTGCTCATGGACCGGGGTGTACGTGCTCCGGTAATAGCGAAACACTTCTACTTAGAGGCTCTTTGTTGCTCTTGGTTTGGTTTTGTTGGGGTTTCTTTTTCAGGTACCGAACTTCCCCCGGGTAATCAATTTCCTGAAATTCTTCAAGGCTTCATAAGCCGTAACAATGAAAATCATAACCAGCAAGTATTTTAATTTCCTTATTGTGTTATTTAAGCAATGAGACATGACAAGGTTTGTGTTATGCTGGGATGTTGCTGCGCCTCGGGTGAGTTGTGTTAGGCAGGAGGCCGAAAATCAAAAGCTGAAACCACCTGGAAAGAGGGTCTGTCCCAGGATGCTGCACAGATTTTGGCATCATCCAGTATGAGTAGACTCAGGATGAAAAAAAAAAAAGAATTAAGGAACAAACACAATAAAATATAAATAATTTCCATTTTTTCGTTGCACCATAATCCATAAAAGAGCATCTCTTATTTAATCTTCATTTAATTTTTTCCCCCTACTGGCTTAAAAGTGAAAATAAGCACTATAAATTAATTAAAATTAATTAATTATCTAATATCCTAATTTAATTATTTTTTTAATATCCTACAATTTCGTAAAACCTCCCCAGATTTCTAAACTAAACATATGTAAAACAGAATTAAAATAGTTTAAGTCTTAGGTCTTTCATCTGGCTAAAATTCTGGGGTTTCATTCTAGTTTTCACTTATTTTCAGAAATACAAGTCTTCTCTTGTTCTTCCTACAGAAAATTTTATTTGGAAAAAGGATGCTGTCTTGTTTTTCTCCTATGATCTATTTTATTATATTTTGTACTGTCTGCTTTCTGTCTCTTGTCACCTGATGGTTAACAATGTGTATCCCATATTTGTCTCTGAAACATTCCTCTTGCTTAAATTGCTGCAGAAACAGTAAAATCAGTTAAACCTCCTGGAAGAGAAACCAAAGGAGTTGTTCCTGTTTGCATCAGCAGAGGTGTGAGGTGTTTCCCTGTGCTGAGAGCACATTCTAGGGGAGGAATCCTCTTTTTAGACAGAATTCACTTTTAAAGCCCACCTTTGAAGATGGCAGCACACTACACAAGTTGTACAAGGCATTGTTACACAAGGGCCAGAGAAAACTTGACTCTGTCTGCAAAATAAACCAGTCGAATCACAAGTATTTAGCAAAGATGTGCCCTGATCCCAGCCTCTCGGGCTCAAGCCATAAAAATGCAACTCACACAAACTTACACATGTGTAGAAGTGTTTGCAAAATAAAGAGCTTGACATTTGAAATTTTTTTTCAGCTGTTAGTTTTAAACTTAAGTGCTTTACGTAAGGAGAGACAGAAGTTAGGAGTCTGGCACCTAATACTCAAATTACTCACTAGTCTCAGTGAGTTGGATGTGTAAAAACCTCAGAAAAAAGCCCCACTAGAAAAAGCCAGATGCAGATGCAAAGTAAGGGGGGATAGAGACAGATGGAAGCCCTAGAGGGAAAGTAGCCCCAGAGAGAGAAAGGAGGGCAAAGAAGGGTAAAGGGAGAGGCACATATATAGACAGAAGAGAGAAATGGGGAGAAGAGAGAAACAGGAAAAAGAGGTGGAAGGCAAAACCAACCTGACAAGATGATTTAACAGATACAAAGCAAAGAATGTCATTAAATATATAAATATGTTGTAGAGTTTCTTCCTAGAAGAGAAGGGTTGAAAAAAGTGAGAAAGAAACAGCTTTGTCAAAAAAGTTTCATTACATATCACCTATTCAGTGAAATATCATTAAAAACAGGAGTCACTGGGAAAGCAAGAAGCCACAATGATATCTAGCAATTCAAAGGCACCCGAAACCAAAGGGTTGGTCTAGTTGATAAGGCATTACCTTGATGTTTCAGTGAAAACAGACTGATCATCCATGTAACGAAATGGAGAAGAAAAAGCAAGCAAGTTGGTCTCACAGGGCTGCATCAAGATAAGATTCTCATCTGTTACAACAGCTGGAGCTCTTAGTGCCACTTGACATCAACTTGTGAGCATGTTTGGCTGCTATTTGTAGAAAAATCCTAGAATCCTATAATTTTAGATAACTTGTCTCACCACGCAGGAATGAGGAGTTGCATCCATTTTGTTGGAGTTGAAATAACATGGAGAACTGTATTGAAGGCCATCTTGACAGCTATTTTTATTAGTCAAAGTACACTACGTACTTTTAATTATAACTGTGCCATTCTTACTGCCATAGATATAGTTGTGTCAGCACTTTCATTAAAAACCCCTATTTTAGGGGTTTATCACTCAGCTGTTAAATTTCGCTTTAGGCTGAAACTTGGCATGCAAAGCCTCAGCCTGCAAGCACTCTTTTTTATTTTTTTATTTTTTTTTTTTTAGAAATACAAAAATACCCAAAAACTTTTGGTCAACTTTTATTTTATAGGAGAGCAGATTTTAACATTCAGTAATTTTTAACTCTGAAAACATTTAATTACCTGAATTTTACAGCCTTGCCCATTATATGTCATGCTGCATTTTTAAAAATACCACTTCTTTTATTCATGTTGGCAAATTGGCTACTGTCCATAAGCAGTAACTATTTTTAATCATGTTTTTAAGCATATATCCATATTTATATTGTTATGATCCATGCTCTGGACTCTGTAAGGAATAGTAAATGACAGGCCATGTAGGCTTGAGCGCAGAGAAAGAACCACAACAGCTGTTAGTTTGCAAAACCCACACAACTTGGAGTGTAGTCTTCAGCTCATTAGCATAATTAATTTTTAATAATGACAGCATTCATTTTTTTTTCCTGACTATTCAGGGCCTTCTCCCACCAGTCCTTACTTAGACAGACCTTACTTTTATCCCCTCAGTGGAAAAGGGCTCACATCCTTCACTAGTGATTTGTGAACAAAACTGTGCTCTCACTGAATAGGTGGTTAATGCCCTGGCACTACACAATTGGCCCATAGGGAGCGGAGGTTCTGGCAAGTCTGGGATCCCTCCCTGAGTCCTGCTTGTTTTATCACAAAAAGGGTATCTCAAAATGGTCCACAGAAGGACATTCTTTAATTCTATGTGTCTCTGATTCTTCCAGCCTCAACCCACTAAATGAATTACAAATTATATCCTTTGACAAGATTTTATTCTGCTTTAAAAATACCATAAATTGCCATGGAAATAAGAATTTAAATAAATTATATAGCTTACCTTTAGTGTTTTCTCTTTGTACTTTTAAGACAATTATCTGAAATATTTCTGCTCTGTCATAAAACCTGAAGTGTCTAACCTGTAAACTACGGATTATTTTCTAGCTATTTATATCTCTTTTGCTCAGGTCCACCGATAAAATTAAGCCCTGTATGTCATTCTATGCAACAGTCAAGATGTGTCTTTAGGAAATAGCATATGTCACTGCAGAATTTAGCCAGCTCTGCTAAATAAAAATGAATAAACTTTTAAAAAGCACCTGATATAAGTTCGTGTCTGGTCAACAGCACTGATTCCATTCCTGTCCTACCTGTGTTTCTCTTATTTTAATTTGGCTGAATGGCTATTGCATCTCTCTCAAGAGACACAGTGCAAAAACTATGACAGGAAGGTCCACTAAATAGCAGTATGTGTACAGACTTGTAAACAGGGTCAGCTTGATCTTTAAGCATCTATCAAGTCAGAGTCCATGCAGACTTCAGAGGGGTTCTAGCTCCATGGCTCCATGAAAATCTGGTCCTTTGATTGAGCACTGAACCACAGCAATCCTTTCCCACTGGAAGATAATACATCTCCATTCTGACTGATGGCTTTTGCTCTTACTCATCACAGCAGTAGAACTTAACCTGTGCAATTTGTGGTTTGCAGGTTTGACATTGCTTTAGAAAGTATTTCAAACTGATCCTTTTAAATTCCAGAAAAGCAATTATGGTGCATGCCGACACCATTTGAAGAGGATGAGATAACCCTCTTGACAGGGGACATCCCTATTTCCCTTTTTTTTTTTCACTAGCTCACAAATACAGATCTGCAGGAGTCCAGGAGAGCACAAACATTTCTTGACTTTAACTGGACTGTAATCCACACTAGAGAAGGAATTATCAGTAAACTTACAAGAACCCCTTGTACTGGCATCCTAAATGAGAACCAGTGAGGTGACAAGAGCAGGTGACAGGTTAAAATCAGCCCTAGTGCCCACAGGCCGTGCACTGGCTCACAGCATTAAACCCCTCTTCTAAATAACTTAACCACTGCCACCAAAAGCAAAAGCAAAATGGAGCCAGGTTTTATTACCAAGAAGGCACTCTCCCTCTCGCTGCAGACAGGAAGGGGAGGGCTCTGGTTATTGTTGCAGATTTTTCCCCCCTGTTTCTCCAGGTCTTTAATCCCAGACTTGGCTTGTTGCGCTTCAAATTGAAATATCCTGAACAGATGTAAAAACACATGTGAGCCACTGCTCACAAGCTGTGCAAAGCTTTGTTTCATCTGCTGATGATGTGAGCCTAAAGGAGATCTTTTTAAAATTTCATCACTATTCAAAAGGATAATTAATACGTACCCCCAGGCTTTGATTATGCTATACCCAGTGTGTACTGCTGGTACAAAAATAATGAGGCTCTCATCAGGCCGAATGAATACTTGCAGCAAACATTCAGTTTCCATAAGAAATTTAAGATTCAGCGGCGGTACCATGTAGGTGGCTTAATCTAATTTTAATTTGTAACACAATACAATAGATAAGATCATTTGTTTGTAACCAGCACAGGCATTTTGTTTACATGAAACCCCAGTCAGCATTCAGCAGATGGTCTTTTTAAAGGCTTAATTGAAGTTTTCTAATCTAACCT